ACTCCCAGTCTCCGATGCATTGCTGGATGCGGCAGCGGGATCAGCGCCATCAGATGTCTCCAGGCTCCGTCTCGGACGCCTGCCTTGCAGGGAATCTCTAATGATTGAAAAATCGAAGCACCCTCATTTCAGCCAGCGCCGAGAAAAGATCAAATAATGACCGGACCGCGCATGGGAGTATTGAGAGGGCTCCACCAGAGTGCAGTTTGCGAGCGACAGTCATGTCAGACGCAGAAAAGGACAAGGAGAGCATCGAGGCCGAGGTCGAGCAACCCCAGCTCACTGAGCCCACGTTCGAAAGCAAACCCATTGCCCGTCGGGTTCAGTGGGTAACCACACGTACTGAGCTGTGGGCCTTTTACATATATTATATTGTACGTTCATTCTTTGCAATGCTCCAGGACGCAGTGCGCTGAGCTTACGATACACCTCAGGGCAACAACGGGCTCTCTGGGTTCAATTATGGTCCTTCACAATTTCAGAACTTGCTATTCCTAGCTGGCTACGACCCGAGCCAACCACCGTTTACGACCCCCTGCGGCAGCAGCGGCTGTGTTCTTCCCTTCATGGGGCGAGTGCGAGACAGTAAGACGATACCCATTCCAAGAGCGCCAGCCCTGATGTTCAAAACGCTCTCTTATAGTTAACTCCATCGTCCTTTTGACGAACGGCATCAGCTTTGCTTTGCAAGCTGCCGTGTTATTGCTCATTGGATCTTGGGCGGACTACGGCACCTGGAGGTTTGTTTATCCTCTACTGCACTCCCTCCACGCAGCGCATTCACACAAACCGTACCAGACCGAACATCACAATCTTCTTCACCATCCTCGCTGTCGCCGTCTCCTTTGCCTGGCTGGGCGTGCAGGACCCGTCCAAGTGGCCGGCGGGGGTGGTCCTGTACATTCTCGGCCGTGAGTCGCGCGCGACTGTTCTGTCCTTATCGCCTATTTCTGATATCTCGGCGCTTTTGTAGTCATTGCTTATCAGGTGCGACGATTTTTTAAGGATCGCATGGGAAACGGAGGTAAAATGCTGATTTTGCGCAGTGTTCGCTGACCTTTTGGACTGCTGCGTTCCCGGGCCTGGCGCGTGACCTCCCCGAAGTGAAGGAGTCCGCGGCTCAGGTAGACGACGGTACAAAACCGTAAGTGTGCGTACAGTAAACTTCTGCTCAGCTGATAATAATCGCACTCGCAGCATTCAGGAGCACGCTGACTATGAATCAATTGCTCGCAACCGGATCTCAAACATTTCGTTCGCCGTTTGCTCTGCGGGCGAAATCGTCGTCCTGGCGGTTATGGTTGGCATTTTGAAGGGCATTAAATCCGACGCCAGCACTGAGAACAACACGAAAGCGTTCAGCGTGCTTATTGCATTCTCTGGTGGTATCTGGTGTAGGCTATTTTCACTCTTGTACTGGAAACTGCGGCTGACCGTGCATTGTGCTAGTGCTCTGTGCCTTGCCTTGGTTCTTCCTAGAGAAGCGAAGACCAGGTCTAACACTCCCGCCAGGAACGTCCTTGCTTATAATCGGTTTCAAACAAACCTATGTCGCGTTCAGGGAATGTATGCGATTGAAGCAGACATTCCTCTATCTTATATTTTACTTTTTGATGTAAGTCGCCATCCGCCACTGAATCTTGTGGCGAGCTAACAGGAATACTATTAGGGGCGATGTGTTGAACACGACCGTGTTAGTATTTACCGTTACTCGTGATAAACTCCACGTCTAACTTGGTTCGACAGAACGGTCATCGCAACGCTGCAGAATAGCGTTGTATCCTACTCCACTCTACAACTTACGCTACTCTTGATTGTGGGCATTGTGACCCAAGGTATTGGGATCTAGTGCGTAATTTCTCTCAACCCTAGATAAGTGTTAAACGTTAAACGACTATGTTAGTGTCTTCTGGATAGTTCAGAAGAAATTTCGCATTTCAACTAAGAAGGTGGACACACCTTCCACCTTCAAGCCATGCGTGCCCTAACGTACCGAACGTAGATGCTCTGCTTCAACGTCTTCTGGATCATCGTATGCCCGGCGCCTTCTTTCTCCACCTAAGCTTCTCACCCCCTTTAGGTCCTGACAATCTGGGGCCTCGCCGGTGTACACACCACCAAGTTCGGGTTCAAGCATGTCTGGGAGATATGGCTATACCAGGCATACTATGGCCTCATGGTCTGCCCGTGGTACGCTTACAGCCAGACGATGATCAGTGAGGTGTCGCCCCTCCCGCAGATGTTCCTCTTTTTCGCGCTGTTTTCGGTCGTGAGTCGGTCTGTGGTTCTGCGTGCAGTGTGACGTGCTGATAGGTGGATGCAGATCGGTAAGACGTCTGCGTTCATAGGGCCGTTCGTCACTTCGGCGATTATCACTGCGTCGGGGAACAACAACTCGATGCCCTTTGCGTTCTTGTTTGCTCTGTGCGTACTTCTGGGGCTTCGGCTTGTATAACTTGTTTTGCTGACGTAGCTACAGGGGCGTGGTGAGCTGCGTCTTTCTGGTGCTTGTCGATGTCAACAAGAGTAGAGAGGAATGCGAAGACTTTGTGCTCGCCGAAGCAAAGCGCGAAGCTTTCGGCAGTTCTTCCTCTTCTACCCTGTAGTATATAGAACCCTAGAACGTATTGCGTATATTCTCTACTCGTTTAAAATGTACAACATGCGAGCGCAGTTGGGCTCATTATTTCATGGAGTAGTGTGATGCAGACTACAGTATCCACTCCCAAGCGTATCCAGTTCCACACTAATAAACCTAGTTCTAGTAACTTATATGGCGATAGCAATGTGGAATATGAGTGATCGGGTATGTACCGACCCGAGAGTATTTAAA